CCGAGGGCCCCAACCCGGAAGTCTGCATCTCCCTACCTGACTCAGTTTAACTGTCAAGGATTTCATGGATTGATGAGGCCATGTTTTTGTTTGGCCACCACTGGCTCTTTTCCAACCTGAACCTATATCAGCTAGAAATGCCCGTCGGGGGAGGCGGTGGTTAGGCATGCGCAGCACGTGACCTAGCCATCTTAGTCTATGTAACTTTATAGCCTCGTCGATTGATTTTCCCTCTTTGCCCAACACTCTACGCCTAACGTCAACATTACTTATCTTGTGAAACCACCTAACGTGAGACAGAGATCGCAGACATCTATGATCGAAAGCAGTCAACCTTTTCATGTCTTCAACGCGTATTGGCCATGTTTCAGAGCCATAGAGAAGGACGGAGCGAACTGATGAGCAGTACACACGTCCCTTGGTTGATAACCGGATGTCACGCCTACGCCAGAGATGGTGTAAGTCAGCGAAAGCAGCTCGAGCTTTTCGGATCCGTGCTGAGATTTCATCGCCAATCAGTCCGTTGGTGCTAATACAACTTCCCAAGTAGGTGAAGTGGTCAACATGTTCTATCACTTCACTCCCTATCACTAAGTTAGGGGTTGACGTGGTCCAGTCCTGTAGCAGCATCTTACATTTTGTAGGGGCGAATCGCATGCCAAACATACGAAGGTGTTCAGAAGACTCTGCATTTTGTCAGCATCCTCCCCTAACAGGACTATGTCATCTGCATATTCTAAGTCCATAAGATTATTCCCTGGTAACAAGTCGATTCCTAAGTCATTACGTTCAGTTAAGGATACTTCCATTAGCATATCTATGATGAAGTTAAACAGAAATGGGGAAAGTGGACATCCCTGTCGGACACCACTGGTTGTTATCAATTCAGATGACAATTCCCCATAAGCCCTTACACGACTACGTGAGTTTGAATAGAGTGCCTTGATTAGTGCAATGTACTTTCTTGGCACTCCCTTCACAGTCAGACATTGCCATAGTACCTTTCGATCCACGGAGTCGAAGGCCGCCTTCAAGTCAAGAAATATGGCAATTGTTGGACGCCGAAAAGTGTGTCTATGTTCTAGAATCTGTCGAAGAGTGAAGATATGATCTATGCACCCTCTACCTGGTCTAAAGCCTGCTTGATTTTCCCTTGTCTGTTCCTCCCGAGTTCTGCTTAGTCTATGCATGATTACTGAGCCTAGGATTTTAGAGACTATGTTCGTTAGGCTGATCCCCCTATGATTATCACACGAGGACTTGTTTCCCTTCTTGAATATCGGTATAATAAGTGACCCACCCCAGTCTGATGGAATGTCTCTGATTCCCAGACTTTGCCTAGTACCTCAGTTAATCTACAAACTAGTATGTCACCCCCATATTTAAACACCTCCGGAATAATTCCGTCGGGTCCTGCCGCTTTGCCTCGTTTCAAATTACTGATAGCTTTTGTAACCTCACTACAGACGGCGGACCAGTGTCTATATCCCATTCGGGTGTGTGCTGGATGGCGGGGAGGTTCAGTGTGGCTGTAGGCAAGTTAAATTGTTCCTCAAAGTGTTCTTTCCAGCGTTCAAGGCGTCTATCCTGAGAGCTAATTAAGGAGCCATTTTTCTCAGAAATAGTCTCACTTATGATTTGCCTTCTCCCATCCGTTTCCCTGATGAGTCTAAAGAGTTGCCTAGTGTTGCCTATCGTCGATGCTTTTTCCATCTCTTTCGCCTTTGTCACCCACCACTGTTCACGGTCCTTGCGGAGACTTTTAGTAAGTTTCCTTTTGTGCAGCTTTCGCTCCTCATTGAATTCGGAGCTCGCCGGAATAAGTCTTCTAGCATCTATCAGTTCGGATGAGGCAGTCGAAATCCAGTGGTTTTTACTCACCTTTGGATTTGCCTTATTCACAGCTTTTACAGCTGTATCTATGGCTGACTGAATATTCTTCCAGGCTTCTTCAGGGTGAGCACAGCTGTCGAACTCAGAAATGTGTTTAGCTAGTTCTTCCTCAAATAGGGATTTAGTTTCCTGATCGAGCTGGGGACGTGATGGGTTTACCGCCGGCTGTTTCCTACGTCCGTTCAGTCGTAAGCACACACGAGTGCGGACCAGTGCACGATTCTTCTGGTGATACATATTTTAATTTTTGCCGTTAGCGCAGTAAGAATTTTATAAAAATACGTATCACCAGAAGATACATATTTTTATAAAATTCTTATTGCGCTAACGGCGTAAATTAAAGCGGTTTTAAGTGAAATCGCTGATTTATAGGTCGAAATCTCAGATATTTGTTAGGAGAGGGGAAAATAATTTTCTTATTTAAATAAGATTCTGTTGTAAACCTCAGCTACCAGAGTTGGTTCAAAGGAATAACAAATAGATTTTGAATAAATAAAGTAGGTGTAAGGCTTTGCATGAGTTTGGTTTTAACGAATTGAATTAAGTAACTCAATGATGTTTGATATGTATTCATGCGTAGAGTGGAAACCTCAGTTTCTGCAAGTTATTTACAGCTATGGACCACATTAATAAATCGGCTGAAAGATTAAGTGATGATGTCACTTAACTCTCAGCTAATTCTGGAAATGTACATGCTGCCTAACGTCATTTGTTAACAAACACATCATAGAAATGGATTGTATAGTTTATTTCAACCTTTGAAGCATCTTTGTGTTATATACATAAATATTTGTTTAGACTCCGTACATATAGAAATACTACAAGCTGTTATGTTTTGGCGTGTGCTACTCGATAAGGTTTACCAGTAGTATATAAAGGGACGTTCATCGCCACAGAACATTTAATAACAGAGAGATAGACTTGATGTCAGAGAAAGCAAAAATAATACAGCGTTGTGGAGATAAATGGGAGACGTGAATGAAACACAAAGCAAAACACAATATAAAGGAAGGTCAGAATTAGCACAACACGGAAAATTTGTGCAAATGGTGCATTATTTGTCCGCATAGAGATAAACATTCCTTTACCAAGTTTCTCGTCTTCTACTGTTACACTATGTGTTCATAAATTATGTGACTTTGTATCCAACTTAGTAGTCGAGTTACTTACATAATAATATTTCCCTGTTCCGCTCCTCTGTTACCTCATATTTCGACCCCTTGAATTGACACTTCCATCTATATTGACGCAATTTTGACCTTCAATATAAATGTCATACAAGCACATGTGTAATTAAAATGTCTTAAGTATCTTGAGTAGATTAGATCATCGTCCCTATAAATTTTCCCGATTCTAATTAGTGAAGTAAGTTTTAAGAGTTGATTTGTTTTGTCGAGTTTGACCACGGATTGATATCAGTTAGGGAACCATTGAAATCCGACTAGGAGTACTGGACAGCTGTTTCATCCATCCTAGTTTGGGACCCTTTGGCAGTACGCACTCACCACAGGGGTTCGAACCCAGGACCAGTGAGGTTCATCTAGTCAAGAGTGAGGATGGAGTTCCCGTCGATGACATTGGTTGGTGGTCGCGCTAAAAATCACGAATTGGTAGAAGTTAGAATTCACAAATTGACCGTTGAATCGGGTCCCAGTAGCCGAATGGTATACGACCTTGCCGTTTAACCGGAAGGTCCTGGGTTTGAACCCCTTCAGTGGATGCGCACTTTCGATGAGTCCCAAACTAGGGCAGACGAAATAGCTGTCCAGTACTAGGTGGTGGTTTGCAGTGGTTCTCTAACTGATATCAATCCGTGCACAAACTCGAAGTAGGTTTCTTTTTTTTAGTGGTACCATGTAGTTTCGAAAGTTGACATTCTGTTCATCCTGTGCTTGTTGTATATAAATGTGTTTATTTAGGAAAGCAACATCCTAACTTCACAGCAAAGGATTCACCATAAGTGTTATTGTATTAGTTGTCGTCAGATGTCACGATGAATTCGTATGATGTATGGTAGTCATTAAACTTGTATATAGAACTTTAGTGTTAATGTTTACATCAATCAATAATGACTGGCATTATCAGCACAACTCTTTTATATAGAGATGAGTTAAGTGAACTATCGGATATAGTACAGTGCTCTCAAGGCTAAACACAAAGTAGTCACCAATTAAGAGGTAATTGGGTCGACTTCTCCTGGTAAATGTTTAATTCAGTTTAGATTTGCCCATCGATGGGTTGCACCGAAGTGATTGATCTCAGGTTGACATATCAGCTCCGTGTGCAGATGCTTTGACGATATCTGGTCATGTAACTTGAAGTCAATTGGTTGATGGTGGAATCCATCGGGATGTGCTCATTTCGTCCTATTTGGGACTCGTCAACTCTCTGGATGTAGTACCTGCATTCCCCAGTGAGTCATGATGTTCCCACCAAGGATTGATCCCGGTACCTATAGTTCCCAACTCCAAAGTTAATTCATCCTTTTATTGATAAAATTCATCTGAAATACAAGTTAGAAATCAATTCATCTGGAAGGACTTTTCTCTTGATATACCAATATCATTGTTAGCTTTCAAGCAGTCGCACTTGAAGTTATTGACTCATCCACAATGATTTTTAACCTGGTGTCTGTGCCTGTAATCTCTGTTTAAGGAAACTACTTGATCCCCACTTGTTTCCTTTTTGAAACATCACTAGATCCTAAATTTGTTTTAAATTCTTCTAAAATGAAATCCTCATTGTTATCCTACTTGCCTTCATCAGATTTGGTGATTCAAAATGCGAAGTTTTGATTTTCGCTCCTTTACGTTCTAACTTTGTATCCTAGGGTTTCAAACATGAGGTGTGTTGTCTCAGTAGAGGTAATGTTGTTTCCATGCAGGGTTGCATTACTAGCCTCTTGCCTAACTTTCTTTTCAAACCGAACCTACTTACAGGTTAAGCAAAGTTTATATGAATCTGTCGGCAAAGAATCGAACTCTGTACCAACCATGTGGGTTGTGATTAGCAAGCGCATTCTATCATCGCCTACCACCAACTCACTAAATGCAAAGTGAGATGTATTAATAAAATCTCTTTTCGCCTTTCTTATACTTTTTTTTTAGTATTTGGCTTTCGATACACAACATATTATGGGTGGACGAGAACAAGAACTCGGTGCAGAGGAGTATATTTACGGTGCTTTACAATTATACTTGGATGTCGTCAATTTATTCCTTATGATTCTATCATTATTCGGTAGTAGAGACTAATTGATTAATTTATATAGAGTTGTTATTTAATGCCTTTCTAAATCAATCCTAAGAAGGCAGTTCATACATACCATCACATACCAAAAAAACACACAACAGAAATCACCATTACAATGAATTTATACACTTTGTTTCCGTCATCTCTTCACCTTTCTTTTGATATACATATGTGTATCCCTTGCAATGTCTTTTTCTTATTGTTCCCCTTTATATTGCATACTGTTCATCATGTTTCGTTTCACTACGAGAGTATAATTTGTTCTCCATTATTGTCGTTATTGTTATTATTATCAGCATTATTACGATCAGTATTCATGCTTTTGCGTGAACAATGTTTAAAAAAAGACGGTGATTACATAATCAAAAATTTATATTATTTGATGAATAATGCCACCACTCCACTTATCATTCATATTTATCAAAATCATAACTTTTATTGTTGTTGTTGTCTGATTCGGTAAACGTTCCATTATCCGCCTAGTTTGCTTAAACAATTTATGCACTGTAACATTTGATAATGATGATGATGAGCATTCACATAATGTATGCTACAATGATTAACTTTGTTTGTTTTGATTTCGATATTTAAACTTTTTTTCTTTTGCCGAGTGTGCTTTCTTTTTTTTCCTCAACATATTTAACAATTGTGATATCAATGTGATGAGGCATCATACACTTGTGATCACTTAATGAAACATGAATAGTTTTGTGTTTTCCCCTTATATATTCACTGACTCCGATAATCAATGACTACATCAGGTGAATGTCATAAATGTCATTCTGTGTTCTCATTTCTTTGTCATTATTATTATTATTATTATTATTATTTTGTCTTGTCTATCTATCATGATGTATTTCTTGAATATATATATATATATATATATATATATATATATATATATATAAATCTGAATGTTGAAATAAGCAAACAGACATTTTATTTGTCAATCTGAACGTATGTACTACTTATATTGTTTCGTGATTGAAATTTAATTATGTTTATGCATTTATAGATGTTTTCCTTTTATATGCGACGTGGATGAGTAGACTTTGACCATCCTCTCGAAGTGATGTCATGTGGGGTCACGTGTGCCTTCACAGCCTCTGTGAGGTAGGTCCTATCCTTACTGCCTTCATGTGACAGCCGGGTGATCCTCACAAAAGTGGAGGGATAAATTCGAATTTCTGCCACTTACAACCAAACCGGTGGTAGATATTTAGGTGGATCTAGGGAGAAGAGCTGAAAAACCCTGATTCTATACCTACACAAATCAACAGTGTACGTCGGCTCCAGAGTCTGAGAGGATCGAATGGTCAGTGGACCATGGAAACGCAGCCCCCACTACCTTGTGAATCAGACTCCTTAAGATAACTGCCCACTTTGGTCTGCGCATTCGGACAGCGTCTCATCTCTCTCACAAACTATGAAATTTTGTATGATGTGCCTCCTGGCCCCTATAATATACCAAGTATGTATTTGAAGGTTCTATGAGCTCACATTGTTAATGGAATATCCTGGATTCAAACCCCCGGCTGGTGTGTACCGATGAAGAGTCCCAAACTAGAGCGATACAGCCATCCAGTGCTTCTTGGTTTCCCAGTGATTCTCTAACTGTTATCAGCTTTGACCAATTGGGTCCCTAAAAATCAACATTTTCTAATTCACCAGATGCTCACTAGTAACTGGCTCTATACAGAAAGTCACCTTAAGTTCTGTTGAGAAGTCGTTTCCTTGCGGAGTCCAGTAAGAGGGTAGGGCAGGGCACTTATTTGGGAAGTACCATCAGCCCCAGCGGGCTGATCTCTGACGAAATCTCAGCACGAATACAGGGGGCTCGTTTCGCATTTGCCAGTTTACGCCGACTCTGGCGTAGACGAGATGTTCGACTATCGACCAAAGGGCGGGTGTACTGCTCATCAGTCCGCTCCGTCCTCCTTCATGGTTGTGAGACCTGGCCACTGAGAGTGGAAGACATGAAAAGACTAGCTGTCTTTGATCATAGGTGCCTGCGCTCTATTTCCCGTGTAAAGTGATATAATAAGGTGAGCAACATTGAGGTTAGGCATCGAGTTCTAGGTAAACGGGGGAAATCAATCGACGAAGTCGTGAAGTTACAAAGACTGAGATGGTTAGTACATGTGTTACGTATGCCAAGCCATCGCCTCCCTCGACGAGCAATGTTAGCGGATATAGGGTCAGGCTGGAAAAAAGCTAGCGGCGGTCAAAAAAAAATTGGCACCAGTCAATGAAATCCACAACAGTTGGTCTAAGCCACGTAGAAAGGTGTAGACTTCCAGCCTGGGGTCCTCGGGACGGTAAAAATCTATGGTTAGAAACAATTGGTGACATGGCTCAAAATCGTTGTCAGTGGCGCAGATGCATCCACTCCTTGTGACTTATGATCTCCACCAATGAAACTGTTTTGTTCTTCGTTAATACTCCTTTGTCTCACACCTCTGTTCACTGTTTCTATTATGCTTTTCTTGTACTTCTCTCTCTTCGCGTGCTACACGGAGTGTGGCGACTTGAACTTCCGCACATTTGTGCAAAGCTCTATGTCGAAAACAGACAGACAGGGCAGGGCTGTTGTTCGCTCATGGCTGGTGATTGAGAAATATTCCTTTCTGTGAACGGTTTTATTTCACATCCAATATATAACAATTGGATTTGGACATTATTGGTAAAAAATTTAATTCCATAGTGGATGAGTTTATTTCACATATAATATACTATATTATATACTGTATAGTAATTGAATGATGCCTCGAGCACTATTTGTTCCTTATAATTTTATGAAGATTTCCACATGACTTTGTAGTTTTTTGCTCTCGTGTTTATTCATGCAATTTCCTACAAGTCCACGACTAGTGTTGCTTAATTTCTATTTCACGTATTCTCAGTTTATTTGAGAAACAAAGACTCGGTGATTAACCCCCTCCCCACAATTAAGTATATTACTTTTCTTATAATTTCACTCCGTTATTATATATTATATTATTGTTCCCTTGGGTTCCTACTGGAACACAGGGCTTCAACAATACATCTTCATTTCCTTCTGTCTTTTGCTGTCCTCTTCAGCTGGGTCCGCGATTGACTGTAATGTCTCAACCCGACCGAAAGCTGCTACCTTGACGTGGTGGTCGGGCTTGAACACCGCAATGACCTAATCAAGCTATACTGGCTGAGACTTATGTCTCTTGAGGTTCTACCATGCCAGGCAGGTTGTTTGGATAGCGGTTAAACAAAAAGCAGCTACCTCATCCAATACCATGATCCAAACAAATTCACAAAATTTCATGCCGGATCGGCCGTGGCCCGGATTAACAACGACCGCGCTTCCTGCTGCCGTGTCACAGGGCGGGAGTGATAAGTATGCTACTGAGGCACACCAAACAAAAGAGAACAAACAAAAACAGGCCGCGTGTGACCGGCCTCAAGCAGTTGTCCCCTGGGCTCTGCGGTCACGCAACCAACTTCCACGGTGTGGGCAGCCGGGAAGTAACAATCGCCCTCACAATCCGAAATGCACACAAAACCTCTCTAATCCTCACTTATCTTTGTCTTCATCTCCATTGCCTTGTCTTCCTCCCACTGATACAACTCCTCTACTTGATGGCTCCACACTCCCTCTTCACTCTGTGTCCACTAAAAACGACGAAAGCCAAAAAACCGCCACGGATAGTCTCCTAAAGCCACGCCACCAATTTCATATAGGAGCATTTAATGTTAGGACACTTGGCCAAATAGGACAACAAGCATCACTAGCTAAGACCCTGGCATCCCGAGCCATTGATGTATGCTGTGTTTCAGAAACACGCAAACAGGACCCAAGTGTGGTTATTCACCTAACCCCACCTGGCCAACAGGTTGAATCTTCAAAATTCACCTTGAGGGTGTCAGGAGATGCCACAGCTAGTTCACGAGGATTAGCTGGCGTAGGGATAGCTCTGAGTACTAGGGCAGAAAAGACACTGCTTGACTGGATCCCGGTAGATAGCCGAATGTGTGCTGTCCGTCTGAACGTATCAGTAAACAGGAGGAAGGACTGCACTACTCGCCGATGCCTTTTCGTAATCTCCGCCTACGCCCCCACTGACTGCAGTTCGGATGAAACGAAGGATGAGTTCTACCAAAAGCTGTCTAGTTTGGTGAGAAAGGCTAAACGCTCAGATATAGTCGTTCTAGCTGGTGACTTTAACGCTCAAGTAGGGAAATTGTGTCAATCTGAGAAGGATGTCGGTGGCACCTATGGAGTTCCGTGCCAGCGAACCGACAACGGTGACCGTCTCCTACAGTTCTGTTCAGATAATCATTTGTTTCTTGTAAGCACTAACTTTAAACACAAGGAGAGACACTGTTTAACCTGGCGACCCCCATCATCAAACCAACGCTGGACACAAATAGACCACATAGCAATAAGCTATCGTTGGCGTGGGTCGGTAGGAGATTGTCGCTCCTTCTGGAACACGTGTGTAGATACCGATCACGCACTGGTCCGGGCTCGTGTGTGCTTACGACTGAACGGACGTAGGAAACAGCTGGCGGTAAAACCATCACGTCCCCAGCTCGATCAGGAAACTAAATCCCTATTTGAGGAAGAACTAGCTAAACGCATATCTGAATTCGACAGCTGTGCTCACCCTGGAGAAGCCTGGAAGAATATTCAGTCAGCTATAGATACAGCTGTAAAAGCTGTGAATAAGGCAAATCCAAAGGTGAGTAAAAACCACTGGATTTCGACTGCCTCATCCGAACTGATAGATGCTAGAAGACTTATTCCGGCGAGCTCCGAATTCAATGAGGAGCGAAAGCTGCACAAAAGGAAACTTACTAAAAGTCTCCGCAAGGACCGTGAACAGTGGTGGGTGACAAAGGCGAAAGAGATGGAAAAAGCATCGGCGATAGGCAACACTAGGCAACTCTTTAGACTCATCAGGAATCGGGTGGGAGAAGGCAATTCATAAGTGAGACTATTTCTGAGAAAAATGGCTCCTTAATTAGCTCTCAGGATAGACGCCTTGAACGCTGGAAAGAACACTTTGAGGAACAATTTAACTTGCCTACAGCCACACTGAACCTCCCCGCCATCCACCACACACCCGAATGGGATATAGACACTGGTCCGCCGTCTGTAGGTGAGGTTACAAAAGCTATCAGTAATTTGAAACGAGGCAAAGCGGCAGGACCCGACGGAATTATTCCGGAGGTGTTTAAATATGGGGGTGACATACTAGTTTGTAGATTAACTGAGGTACTAGGCAAAGTCTGGGAATCAGAGACAGTCCATCAGACTGGGGTAAGTCACTTATTATACCGATATTCAAGAAGGGAAACAAGTCCTCGTGTGATAATCATAGGGGGATCAGCCTAACGAACATAGTCTCTAAAATCCTAGGCTCAGTAATCATGCATAGACTAAGCAGAACTCGGGAGGAACAGACAAGGGAAAATCAAGCAGGCTTTAGACCAGGTAGAGGGTGCATAGATCATATCTTCACTCTTCGACAGATTCTAGAACATAGACACACTTTTCGGCGTCCAACAATTGTCATATTTCTTGACTTGAAGGCGGCCTTCGACTCCGTGGATCGAAAGGTACTATGGCAATGTCTGACTGTGAAGGGAGTGCCAAGAAAGTACATTGCACTAATCAAGGCACTCTATTCAAACTCACGTAGTCGTGTAAGGGCTTATGGGGAATTGTCATCTGAATTGGTAACAACCAGTGGTGTCCGACAGGGATGTCCACTTTCCCCATTTCTGTTTAACTTCATCATAGATATGCTAATGGAAGTATCCTTAACTGAACGTAGTGACTTAGGAATCGACTTGTTACCAGGGAATAATCTTATGGACTTAGAATATGCAGATGACATAGTCCTGTTAGGGGAGGATGCTGACAAA